TCGTTGGGTCTGCGGGTGGCGCGGTGGGCCTTGGGTGCATCGCGGCCGTCAGCTGCGGGGCAGCGAAGGGGCTCCTGTGGAGCTCTCTGCCTGGCAAAAGGGGGTCTCATGATGTGGGTGGATAGGGGGGCGCGTCTGTTCTCTACGTTTCGCGGGTTTGGTTCATGTGCATGTGTGCGCGCGGCTTGGGGCACACACGGAGCGCGCTCTCTCTAGCAGCCGCGCTCACCCTCTGTCGAGTACGCCGGTCGGTAACGACTTTATAACTCCGGCCTGAGTCGTACTACTATCTCTCTCAACAAAGGTACGCGTACACCGTGTACTTGAAGTAGCTACTTGCGAGTCGCGTACACACACACAGACACACGCGCTGAGATTGACGGCGGGCAAATCGTGTTGTACATGGGGGTAAACCCCCTCGTACGGACTCCTTACTCCCTCGGGATGGCCGCGAGCGCCGCTTGCGCGTCGGTGCAGGCATCCGCCTTGGCGGGCCGGCTCGCCTGCACGCGCCGGTGGAGCGCTCGCAGGATGGCAGAGACGCGCGTGAGGTGGTCTGGTCGGAAGCGCGCAGCCTTGGACCAGGCCGCGACGGTCGGCGGCTGGCCTCCCGCCTGCTCCGCCTCCAGCAGGTGCCTGAGCCCGGTCGCGACCTCGTGGCAGCTGACCTGCAGCACGTCCGTCCGGCCGAGGCCGATCATGAACTCGTTCACCGTCCAAGGCCCGACGCCCCGCACGCCCTTCGCGGACGCCTCGAAAGCCTTGTCGACGGCGTCGCGTGCGCCGCTCCGTCGCGCGGGCAGCGCGCTCAGCGACGCCCACTTGCCCGCGAGCTCGAGCATAGTCTGCGCCTTGGCCTCCCAGCTCGGCTGCCCCATGAGCCCCGCAACGCCAGCTGCGCCGCCAGAGATGCCGAGAAGCCCGCACGGCGAGAGCGCGCCGCCGAGGGCGGCGCACAACGCGGCGTCGGCCGCGGCGGCGGTGTGCCTCGAGTCGCGCTGATACATCACCAGGCGCGCGAGCGAATCGAATGCGTCGTCGTCGATGCTCCTCGCCGCCGCACCGACGCCACTGCTCGAGCTCGCCGCCGCGCCGGGCGAGGTCATGGCAGCGGCCGCCTGCACCTCTTCCTGTTGCAATCGGCGCGCGAGCGCTGCGTCGTTGCCGCCTGCGCCACGACTCTCCTCCGACTGCAGCCGGCGTGCAAGCGCCTCGTCGCCGTCGGTGGGCGTCGCCTCATCGTCAGAGCCGCACAGGTCAATGCACGCCTCGCCACTGGTGCGCACACGCTTTGCAGCCGGCTCGTTGTTGCGCGCTGGCGCTTCGTGCTCGGCAGTGTCAGGCGTGGGCGTGACGTGCTGCGACGGCTCTCCTCGGTGGGCGCGGCGGGCGGCAGCTAGCTCGGCGAGCAGCGAGTTGTCCATCGTCGCGGCGCGGGATGAGAAATTGGTGCCGCAGGGGAGAGAAAAACTTTCTCTCGAGGTTCTCGAGGTGGATATCCTTTGGCCGCGTTGGGTAGCGAGGATTGGTGTGACGCGATCCACGCAGGCGTGTTTTCTGACGGCCGACCGTCAGTGCACGGAGTTGCCCCTTCTCCGACTGCCCCGGCTAGTTCACGAGTTTCGCGGGAGTGACCCCATGCGTCAAACCCGAGACCTAGCGCGGGTGGGTTGGAGGGGCTCGCCCCGTTCCTCCCCATCGGGCCGCATAAGCGGCCACGCCTCGCAGATTCGTTTTCGCGCCTGGGTCAGGCGCGCGGGGCATCCCCCGGGTCGCTCGACCAGCGATCCGAAGAGTGGCCGCTATGCGAAGGAAAGAGCGGGGCCCTCGACGCCTCAGTCCGGCCCTCCGAGGGGGGAAGGGAATTGCGGGGTCCCCAAAAACTTTCTCCCAGGCTCTCGAGGTTCTCGAGGTTCTCGAGGTGGATATCCTTTCTGGCCGCGTTGGGTAGCGAGGATTGGTGTAACCCGAGCCACGGAGGCGTGTTTTCTGACGGCCGACCGTCAGTGCACGGAGTTGCCACTTCTCCGACTGCCCCGGCTAGTTCCCGAGTTTCGCGGGAGTGACCCCATGCGTCAAACCCGAGACCTAGCGCGGGTGGGTTGGAGGGGCCTCAGAAAGGCGCGCAAGCACGCCCTACGTCTTCCCCTCCTCCCCATCGGGCCGCGTGAGCGGCCACGCCTCGCAGATTCGTTTTCGCGCCTGGGTCAGGCGCGCGGGGCATCCCCCGGGTCGCTCGACCAGCGATCCGAAGAGTGGCCGCTATGCGAAGGAAAGAGTGGGGCCCTCGGGGTACGCCTCGTCCGGCCCCCTCCGAGGGGGGGAGGGAATTGCGGGGTCCCCACGCTCAGAGGATGACCCCGGGTAAGCGTTCCCGTGCCTCGACAACTGCCGCTGGTAGGCGCGCCGCGCCGAACCATGGCGGGCGCGCCGCGGCCGCGCGCAACCTTCGTCACAATGCCAACCGCGCGCGGCCGTCGACCGGCAAGCACACGCCTCGACTCGGGCACACTGTTCCGAGGGCAAGGGAGAGGGGCTGGCCCCTAGCCCGAGAAAAACCAGCTGGATGTGGAAGCAAGGGCAAGAAAGGTAACAAGTGCACCTCCCAGGAAGACAGAAATCCAACAAAGCATATTACAACAACCGACATCCCTCACCTGCCAGCTTGCACGGCCCTCCGAGGACTTCCCGAGGAAGCCAGCGGGCGGTTCACCTGTCATCCTTGCCGTCGCGCCTTTTCCCTCCGTTTTGTAGCAGACGCGGCAGTTTTCTTTTGTGAGGGCGTCGGCTATATAGGATCATTAACGAACTGCGAGCCGTGAGGACCTCTCGCAGGAGTGTGAGGACCTCTCGCAGGAGTGTGAGGACCTCTCGCTGGTCGATCTCGCTGGGTGGAGTGAGGTTCCAGCAGCGAGAGGCAGGCCGGGGGCAGGGGGGAGGGGGGGGGGGGGGGGCTTCACGCACGGCGTGACCGCGCGTGGCGAGACGGTGGCGCTCGCGGTGATGTCGCGCCACGGGCACGGCGCGCGGCCATGGACTCCGTCGCTCTTTTGTTTTTAGACTTCGGCATTGATCTCGGGTGGGCGGCCCGACGCGCTTGGGCGGAATTCATATGACTCATTAATTACCGAAATATAACTCGGCCGAAACATAAGGTACCTGTTGGACGACCAGATACGAGCGTGTGAGCAGCAACACGGAAGCGGCAATGTCGTCGCGGTCACTCACCTCTCACGCGATCGACGGCGATCGGCGTTCTCGTATTGTATCTCGACACTCGAGGTCCATCGAGCGCGCTCGGCTCCGCGCTGGGCGTGCCTGCAGCCGTGTGCAGCGGGCTGTGCCGTGGAGTGTGGTGTGCGACGCGACGCGCGACGGCTTTTCGCTAAGTTACCCCTAAGTAAGTTTCTGCCGAGCGTGAGACAAGTATATTCTGACAAGTATCTACACGGCGGGCGCGAGGAGCTTCTGCAGCTTCGGCACCCAGAAGCGCGTGAAGCGCTCCATCCCGAGCGACGAGGGGTGCGTGCCCATCACCGTCATCTCCCAGAAGACGTGCTCGTCCTCGGGCTGCTGCGCGTAGATGCCGTCGCCGTCGACTAAGGTGAGGCGCGCGCGCGGGAACTCGGCGGCGAGCGCCGCGTACGCTTTACGGATCGCCGCGTTGCCGCGCGCGTGCTCCGTGTCGTCGCCCTGCAGCCAGACGGCGCCCTCCTTGGTCCCCGAGACGACGACGATGGCCGCGCTCGGCTTGGTCGAGAGCATGAGGCGGCCGAGGGCGAGTGAGCTGTTGTACACAAAGTCGGGGCCGCGCGCGTCCGAGTTGGGGTCGCAGTCGACGACGTACGCCGCCGCGTCGACCTCGAGCAGGTAGCGCATCACGTCGGTCTCGAAGAAGCAGTTGCCCGAGAAGCCAAAGTTGGACACGGGGCGGCGGAGCGCGCGCGAGATGGCGTTGGTGTACGCGTCGCCGGGCTTGGAGGCGCACGCGCCCTGCGCAATGGACGAGCCGTACCAGACGATGGGCTTCGAGGTGAGCCCGAGCCCGCCGCAGTCGCCCGCGCACGGCGTGGGCGGCCCGCCCGCGCCTGCCGGCACGCCGATGCGGAGGGTGGAGACGCCATTGTACAGCGGAAAGTACAGGAGCCAGCGAGTCGGGTGGACGGCGCCCGCGGTGCCGGGCGGCTGGAGTGCTGCGAGCTGCTGGCACACGTGCGTGGCGCTCGGCGCGGTCGTGCCGACCCACCTCCACGTGCCGCTCGCCGGGTCCTGCGCCCACAGGTCAGCGCCCGACACGCCGGTCGCGGGCATATGCACCATGCCGAGCGACTCGTGGGTCAGGTTGTACTCGACGTAGATGGAGCGGACCGCCGCGTCCGTCTCGAATGCGACGGCAAATCCGGCGGTCTGCAGCGAGAGGTCCCAGATGCTGCTGCGCACCACGCCCTCTGCAGCAGCGGGCAAACGGTGGTATGGGAATCGCTTGACCGGGTCGGCGTCAAAGTGGCTGTTGACGAGCGTCAGGCTGTGCGCCTCGACAAAGTCGATTTTGGTCACATTGGGCGCCGGGCATGGCGTGCCAAAGGTCAGTGGTGCGGCAGCAGCAGCGACGAGCATCGGCAGTGCATCATGATCGGACGAGCGTCGAGTGTGAGCGTGAACTGTGGTCCTCTCCAGGCCGCGCCTTACCTGGTCACACACGCTTTTAGAGGCTTGTATCTTAAGGTGGCAGTCCGGGTTCTCTCTCCGGGTTCTGTGAAGAGGGTCGCTCGTCGAATGCGAGCCAGTTCGCTCGCGACGCCGACGCCGACGCCGCCGCCGGAACGACCGCGGCGGCCGGTCGAGCGGCCGCCCCGGCCAGCGGCCGTATCGAGCCTGCCCGTCGCGAAGGTGCGGACCTCACGCGCCCCACCGGCCGCCCGCGCCGGCGCGCCCACGTCGCTCTCTCGAAGC